TCTTTTTTCTTATTTTTCTTCTACCTAATTTCTCTGTATCTTTTAATCTATCACCTTGTCGCATTATCATTCCTTGTTAAAATACAATATGATCAGACATGTAGGGATGAGCATTGTAATGGAACTGTTTGAAATAAGGATGTTTTCGAAAACCAGATTCTAATTTCAAGAAATTTTAGTGACTAAAATTCCACACCCACACCAAACAGCTGGCACTAGATGTTCGAGTGTGTGTTCGTTCTTAAACTGTTGCTCCAATTTTTTTTCTAAACTGTCTAAAAAATAAAAAAAAATAAAACAACGAACAAAAAGTAGCGAAATGATGACGTGGAATATAATGCTGAGGGTACAGTGAAAGTTAGTACAACAATTAAGCTAGAGATGATTTTTAATCTGAAATCTTCTGTAATCACTCTTCTAATTATAAGTAATTAAGTGTCAACTCGTAAAGACATTTCACACATATTCTTCACCTTTCATAATGCTTTCATGTATTTCAAATTGAAAGTGGGGTAATCATATTTAATTTCAACCTATCTGATCTACTATGATTATTATTCTGATTCATGTTTGACTCTAGAATAACCACTCTCTTTTCACTTTTTTTGATGTACGACTGTACAGTTTGCATAAATTCAAAATTTCTCAATTCATGTTTTGAAAAGTATTTCAGCAGCTAACTGGGTTCAAAACATATACGACTAGGGAGTTAAGGGTGAAATCATTGTTTATTAATCACTTGGAGTCGACCTTTGAATCAGAGTTTGAAAAACTTTTCAGTACAGCAAACAATTTCCTCTTGCTTCTTCATTGTTCACATCCACGTGTATATTATCATAATAAACTATATGACAGCTGCCAATAAACACTTAACGAAAGCTGCATTTTTTTTTTTCAAAACAGCAGTATTTTTTCCTCTGCCATCGTCATGATTGCTTGCTTCATGTCAACGAATTCCGGAAAGTTTCGTCAGCTTCTGACTTGACATTTGAATGAAAAATAGTTGGGCGAGCAATCAGAATAGTAGCTAAATGAGAAAAAATAAAGAGTTATTCAAACGAGAGAGATAATGTTAGCTTTCGATCTCGTCAATATGAAAGAGTTCTCAGACATGAAGCGATGTACAAAGTTGATATGAAAGTTCTTAGGACCTCTTGAACTAACTCTGCTTATGGATTTGTTGATTGATTTGATAAAAATCAAAGCCTTCTGACATTTCAATTCCTAAAATGACGT